TGCCATCTAAATACCTTTCTGGTGGGTTTTTTTTGTTTGTTTTTCATAAGCATTTCAGTCCCTCTTTCGTTGCTGCCTTTGTGCTACTTCGAGCCCCGAAAGGTCAGGCCATGACTCAGCTTCGTACACTGAATGAACTTAGGGAAAGAAAATCCAACACAATAACTTTTCTAAGCCATATACTTCCTGTCCATGTTTTCCAGAATAATTTATTCGCAGCCATGTCACGTTCTGAGAGTGCACAAGGGCACGGTGACGGTGTTCAAATGTGTTGGGGGTGGGGCTTTCCATGGAACGCTTTTTTGTAACAGGACCCAAAAGTTGTGGCGGTTTTTTTTAAAAGTGTTTTGCACATGTGTAGCTGAGGGAGAACTGTGTGTGTCCAAACCTTGAGTGCAATCAACGTTTTCCAGGTTGTTTGGGGGGGGGGGAGGGGGGCAGGGGAGGGAGGGAGGACAGGAATATCTGTAATTATAGATATTTGAAGGCAGCCAGCTGAGAGTTTACAGAACACTTCGCGTAGCATGAACGAACACGGGAATTTCAGCTCAGGCCGTGACTTTTGGCCGTGACCAGTGACCTGGGGTGGCCAGTTTGAGCTGCCAAGAAAGGGCCTGATTTTGGGTGCCCAGCCCCAGTCAGGTGCCTTTAAAGGGTCTCAGATGGGACACCCAGGGGTGGCTTTTCACCTGCGAAAACTCGCGGCCTCTCTCCGCAACTTCCGATGTAACTGAACACAAATGGTTTGGTTGTTGGTTTGTTTTTGTTTTTTTTTTCTAAATTTTATTGTATTATTGCAATAAATCTTTAACAGTAATTTTTTTTTTTTTTAAAGTTGTATATTAATAACTGTTACTTCTGTGTGGTCTGTTTTTCACCGTGCTGGGCGAAAGTACACAAGAATTTCCAGCCTTCAAAGCATCACAGGGACCAGACCTGTTACAGTGCAATCAGTCGTACAGTGGTGGAATTAAGCAATACCCATTCTAAAAAAATACTCTTACATAAAATAACTGCATCTCCAGGGGAGCAGGAGGCGGGTTCCTGCACAACACACACACACACACATCCCTCTGTGTACATGTAAACAGGTAAATCTCTCGTGTGAGCCTGGCTCGGGGCTGCTCATGTGCTGGGTGATGTTTGTTTCTGCAGGTGCTGAATTCCTGCTGCGTGCAAAGGGAGATGCTCCTCCTTACAAGGTCATTTCAGGATGCAAGATGTGGCTTTTTATGGATGTAAGTGTTGAAGTGAGGCAGTGAGTGTCTGAGCAACAGGGATGGGAAAGGGCTGAGCAGGCTCTGCCCTGGGGACCTGGTGGCCTGGCAGCCCATGGGTTACAGGCTGCTGAATGATGGAGGAAAACCAATCCCTCCCACGCAATTTTTTGTGATGTATCTGAGGGGGAGGACTGATGCCCTGTGATTCCTGGTTGCTACACTCCCAGGAGTGGGAGCAGCAGCCACCTGGGGTTCCTGCACGCAGAGCTGGGGGCAGGTTGTTGCCTCAGTGACAGCACAGTCAGTCCTGCCCCTGCGCAAAGCCAAGCCTGGCTTTGAGCTCAGCTCTGCTTAAGCAGGGCCAGCAGCAGGAGGTTTTGTCCTCTGCCCACACTGGTTTGTGGCAGGAGAGCAGCCTGATAATGCCCCGAGTCCTGTCCCTACTCCAGGGTTGCCTGGACCAGCCAAAGGCAGGCTGGGAAGAGAAACAGCCCAGGGTGAGGCTTCAGCACCATTCCCACTGTGTGAGAAGTGGGACTCGAGACAGAGGTTGGATGTTTCAGTGCAATTTTGTGCAGGTGTGAAATCCCAGAATGGTTTGGGTTGGAAGAGACCTTAGAGACTATCTCGTTCCAGCCTCCTGCCATGGCCAGGGACACCTTCCACTATCCCAGGTTGCTCCAAGCCCCGTCCAGCCTGGCCTGGAACACTTCCAGGGATGGGGCAGCCACAGCTTCTCTGGGCAACCTGTGCCAGGGCCTCACCACCCTCACAGCCAAGAATTTCTTCCTAATATCCCATCTAATCCTGTCCTGTCAGTTTGAAACCATTCCCCCTTGTCCTGTCACTCCAGGCCCTTGTCCAAAGTCCCTCTCCAGCTCTCCTGGAGCCCCTTTAGGCACTCAGGGGGCACTCAAGGGGTTCTCAGGTCTCCCTGGAGCCTTCTCTTCTCCAGGCTGAACACCCCCAGCTCTCCCACCCTCTCTCCATAATAGAGGTGCTCCATCCCTTGGAGCATCTCCGTGGCCCTAATGACAGTTCCAGGGGCTGCCACAGGGGCAGAAACTGCAGGAAGTGACCTGAGCTCCACTGCAGCATCTCAGCACCTCGTCCCAGGGAGCAGAGACACAGCAAAGGGAAAAGCTGCTGCAGGAACAGCCAGGATGGAGCAAGAGCCCAAACACAAGCCTCAGCCATGGGCAGCTTTTTCTGTGGTGTCCATGCCAGGAGAGTCCCAGAGCTTGATGAAAACTGGAAGCTCACAGACAATGGAAATGTTATTACAACTTCTTCGCAGGCATATCTGGAAATTCAGTCCAGACACTCCAACTGCTCCCAGGCAGGAAAGTCAAGCACATGGTGCAGTCCTTCGTCCTCAGTTCTAAACACTGAACTTTGTAAATCCAACACTGGATTGTTGTTTTAATTGACTCGTAGGAAACAAAGAAGTTCACTGGACCTTGGGTTCTCCCTGAACCATCCGTTAAGGAAACAGAAATCTGCACTTTACTACTTTTTAGGAAAGAAAAAGCCTGCAGGCAGCTCAGCATGGCAACACTCAGAACCAACCCACATCTGGATGCAAAAGCTTGTTCTGCAAAACAGTTTTTAACAGCAATGCTGTGCAACAGGGACAGTTCCAGCAAACAATGTAATAAATGATGTATAAACCAGCCCACGCTCCCCAGCCACCTCAGGGGAAGGGCAGGGATGGGGCAGGGTAGACAACAAGTTGTCCTCCAGATTTACCTGTTCCAAGGAACAAAATAGCCTAATGATATTATTTTATCCTTGGTTTTCCCCTTGTTCAACAAAGGTGACCAAAATCTCACACTCTGTTCCAAAAAAAATGACCTCACTGGCCCCCTTATCTAATTACAAAATATTTTCCTCTGCTGCTCCGTTCCAGCCTCGCAGGGACTTTCCTCGCTGCTGCTCAGCCTCAGGTTTTCCAGAGTCTTGGGTGGGGGGCAGGAAAGCAGCTTCTTTCCCCTTTCCCTTAATCAAAATCAAGCTGGAGGCCTTTGATGCCAATGGCTTTGGCCAAACAACAGCCTGGCAGTTGCTTTGCTGCTCGTCCGGAGGGAGCAGATGGAAGTTCGGGTGAAGCCCGCGCCCCGTTATGGGATGAAGTCATGGATTAACCAGGGATCCTGCTTTTCCTCTCCCTCTTCCCAGCCGATTACAAGGAGGGCCGCACCCTCCTCTTAGATTCCTGGTCTCATTCCTCATGGTTGTCATCATGTCTGCAGCGCAGGGAGGCCGAGCAGCCAGGGAGGGGTGTCTGACGCCCGGGGTGGCAGGAGCAGGTAAAGGCAAAAAATAAACCCAGCACATCCTTTAAATCTCCCTGAGCTCATCAAACCCACACTTCATCAGGCTGCAAGGGCTCCATTTTCCTTCTCTCACAGTTAAGGGAAAGAATAAAAGCATCTGCCTTCAAACCCTCTCTGTCCTCGCTGCGGAACCAGGTGGGTCGCTCCATGTGATCCCAGTGCAGGTGAAGCAGAGGAAGGTGGGGAGCTCAGCCTGGCCCCCACAGCCAGCAGTTTTCCACACCTTGCTGATCCAGTGCCAACAGGATGAGTCAGGGCAGGGCCACCTCATCCAGAGCTCCTGCCCTTTCCAGGTGGCCCCTGGGGTTTGCAGGGCAGAGGAAGGCCTGGGATGAGGCCCATAGGAAGGTGGCACTGGCTCTTCTTGCACCAGGTCAGAGATTCTGGTTGCTCCAGCTGGAATGGTGACTGCCAGGAGTCCATCCGTGCCTTGAGAAGGGGCAGAGAAACAGCACCAAGTGTGGGGAGAGAAGGGACTTGGACAGTGCAAAGGCACAGCTGCCACACTCCATTTGGCTCCCTGGAAAAAGGGCTGCTGCTCCACTGACTCAGCTCCCAGGAGCTGAACGTGGCTGCTGGATTGTGCAGGGTCCATTCCCAGATTTCCAAACCACTCACCCTCAGAGGGGTGTAACTGGAGTCTGGATCACAGCATTGCAGGAAAGGAATGTATTCAGGGAAATACTGCAACAGATGCCATGCTCTGCTCCCACTCCCAGTTTGAGCAATCACTGTTCACCCAACACAAACCGTCACCATTCCCCTGGAAAGCACCGACTCACACCCAAGGAATGAGATGCCAGAGGCTGCAGCAGAGCAGGGCGAAGCACTGCAAGCATTTCTGTTGAAAGGGACAAATTCCACACAGAGCAGATGGCAAAGCTTCCAGCACATCACAGAGCCAAGGCAACTCCACATCCATCCTACTGGACCCACGGTCTGTCCTGGAGCTTCCAGGGAACAAGGCAGGTGCCCAAACAAGAGCCAAGAAGCAGGATGACTGGAAAGTCCCTGTTTTTGGAAGCTTTACACACCTAGCACCAGAATTCCCGACAACAGGAGCCTCTGCTGCACGCAGGGCTGACAGGAAGGAAAGGAAAAGCTGGAATCTGTGAATGTTACAGCAGGAAGTTCTCCAAGGAATAGAGATTTGGGGGGTGTTTTTTTATTCCTTTGTTAGTAGGACAGGTTTGCCAGAGGAAGCTCACTGCACATCTGAACTACAGCACAGCACCAAGTTTCTGCCACGTGTTTTACAGCATTTTTATTTCGGGGCAAAAGTCTTACAAGAGAAAGTCTGGTAAGGCAGATCTAGAATGCACGTTTTATTCATGTAAAAAAAAAAAAAAATCAAAAAAAAACCAAACCAGACAACATGGGTAAGGTAGACAAGAATTTTTTTTTTTTTATATTCTGACTATACAATAATATTCATCTCTTTTTATTTTTTTATTTTTAAATCCACTGCCACGCTACTATAATGGGTCTGTTCTATAGTCTAAGTTTCAGGTTGTCCAGTTAAGTTGTCTGCAGCTTCTTTAAACAAGTTGACCTTTACCTATTTAGAGTTTCTTCTCAGAAACATTCATATATTATGCGGAATATACAGATTTTGAAACAAGACACTTAAAAACACACACACCTATAGCCGCAACACTGGGATAGCTGCATTGTAGGGGGTTACCTTGTTCAGCCAGCTGTAGACTCTGTATGTACAATTAGGGTTTTTTTATAGTGTTATTTACAGAGATGGACTAAAAGCTCTCTTAAATCTAAAAGGTAAAGGCTCTTGTGTTTGAGTATGTGCAGTTTCATAGCCCTGTGGAAAACAAAACAAAACAAACAAAAAAAAAAAATAACCACGACAATTATATACACTGTAAACAGCACAAGGCATGAGAATCTCCTCCTACCCCAAACAATCTCGCAGGAAAAGTGTATGTGCACTAATATTCCTCTTCCACTTCGGTTCCCGCTCCTCTGGTCTTCTTGTGGATGGCGCGGTTAAAGCTGTGGCAGGCGGGGACCCAGTGATTGTCATGGAGACCCAACTTACAGCCCGGGATGCCCTTCTGGGACCGGTGGCAGCACATCCAGTAGCCAGGCCCGTAGGGCAGGGCCTGGCAGTAGGGTTTGGGGTGCCACCGGCACAGAGACACGTCCCCCTTCACGTACTTCTTCTTGCACTGCTTGCAGGGGTCCTCCCGGTACCGGGGGTCCCGGACCCAGCGCGAGTCCGCAGGCCGGATGTTGTAGTACTCAATGATGAACTTGAAGTAGTAGCAAGTGCATTTCAGGGCCACCAGGCTCCTGGTAGGGAGCAACCCAAAGATCTTCACTATGATGTGGTGAGGCAGGAAGGCCATATACTGCTGAGGCTCCAGAAGCTGCTGGATTTTAAACCTGGTCTCCAGAAAGTCATGCGAAACCTGCCTTTTCAGGCAGGAAGCGTCAAGTACTTGCAAGGCCCCTTCTGAGGGAGGGACAGAGGGGGCTGATGGCTCTGTAGGGACACTGCTCCTGACACACAACCTGCCGGATGCCAAAGCATCCTCATCCTCATTCTGGGCTACTTCTCCTGGCTTCTCTTGGGTACTTTCCCGTGGTGGCTGTTGCTCATGAGCAGCAGGCTGCTCATCCTGCAGGAAAAACAGCCTCCCCGGGAGTGAATCCTCACTAGAACTGGAGTTGGAGAGCTTCTCTTTCCTGCACCCCTTCTCGGTCTTGGTGACGGATATACTGATGCACAAGGGCTCCTTCCTCGCAGGATGCAGGCTCTGCTTTGGGAAAATCACAGGCTCCTTCGACGTACAATCAACAGTCGCGTTTTTGCTCTGCAAGGGATCTGGTGGCAGCCTGCCAGCAGCAGCTGGACACGAGGACAGCAGAGCTCTGGGAGGCTCAATCCGTGTCTCAGTGTCGCTCCTGCCGGCTGCCATCGCCAGCACCGCGTGAGCAAGTCCCGAATTCACATTCCCCATCCGGGTATCCAGCCCCGAAGGAAAAGGCCGCCGAGCAGAGGCGCCGCCATCCCACGACTCGGCGTCACCCAGAGCACCACAACGACCTCCGTATCCAGCCTCTGCCACCCCCGCCTCCCCCAAGCCATCCCCCTGAGCCAGAACCCCCGGCACCCCCTTCCCCGCCTCTCCCTCGGGCTGGGTGCCGTTGGCCAGAAGCACCCTCCCGACGTTTCTGCGGAAGCTGTTGTTCCGGGAGAGGCTCCCGGCCTCCCGCTCGCTCTGGCGCCTCAGGCACTCCGACTCCAGCTTGGCCACCATGTCCAGCACGCGCACGGGCTCGCCCTGCTGCTCCGCATGCACCTCGCACGCCCCGGCCGAGGAAAAAGGGTCGGAGCTGGGAAGGGCCCCCTTGGGCTGAGCGCTCGGCCTCGTGGCAGGGGCAGCCGTGCAGGTTTTAGCACAGTCCACCAGCAAAGCACTCGCTCGCTGCTCCAGGAAAGCCACCATCTCTATCACCGAGAGGGACCGGCCCGGGAACGCCCCCTCTCCGCTGTCATTCCCGTAGTGCACCGAGCAGTGCTCGATGCCACAGGCAAAAGGCTCCGGCTGGGAGCACCTGGCATTGGCCTCCCTCATCCTTTCCAGTTGGATTTTGGCTTTTTTGAGGTCCACCGATTTTTTCCTGCGCTTGGCCGTCCTCCCGTCGATGTCCCACGTGCTCTTGATTTTCATGGAGCCCACCCGGCTGGTGCTGCTGCACTGCTGGGCCGCGAAGAACGCGATTTTCTCCTTCGTGTTGCCAGGTTTCACCACGGCCCAGACATCCAGAGGCCCTTCCCCTTCCTCTCCCTGGTGGATCGTTGCAGACAGGGCGTTCTTCTTTTCCCTTGCACTTGGACCATCCGCTGGACCTTTCCCGTTCATATTGCACATAGTATTTGGATAAATAATCCCCAGAAGCTTTTGAGATGGAGTCACGAGGGAGGGTTTTGGGAAAACGCTCAGTTTGGTGCAGGTGGTGTATTTTTCTCCTTGAGCTGATCCCTGGTGGCCTCGCAGGGAATCCTGGCTTATTTCTGGGGATCGCTCTTTCTTCTGTAACTTGAGATATGGCTTTAAGTGCATACCAGAGACCCTGGAAAAACAGAAAGGGGAGAAGTTATAGTTGCAAAATATGCCTGTCTGGAATTAGAGAAGGTGGCCCAGGGTAGGCACCATCCCACACCTCAAGAAGAACCACATGAGAAAGGAAAACGCAGCAACCAAATCTCCAATATCCACCCTTGGAGAACTTCCTGCAGTAGAAGAGAACTTCCCATTAGATAAATCTGTTGCAAGGAGAAATCCTGGAGTTTTTCAGTTGTGAAAACATAGCTAGTGGTTCATTCTAGAGTTAGAGCCATCCTTCTGCCCGTTCGTTCCTTAATCCAGTTGTAAGGTACACAAAGGTCATGGAGTTTGTCTCCTGAAAAGAGTATGTTTGATAGTGGATGTCCAGATAAAGTACAGTTAAAGCTGAAAAGGGAAATTAGCAAGTGTAATTACATTCACCAGAGACCCCAGTGGGTATCTAAATTCCTAATACCACCCAAAGTCACAGAATGGTTTGGGTTGGACCTTAAAAACCACCTCGTTTCACCCCCCTGCTATGGGCAGGGACACCTCCCACTATCCCAGGTTGCTCCAAGCCCTGTCCAACCTGGCCTTGAACACTTCCAGGGGTGGGGCAGCCACAGCTTCTCTGGGCAATGAAACTTACCCTTTAGAATATTGATAATGGCAAATTTGGTGACTTTCTCATAAGGGTCCTTACATTATACATCAGATACTCCCCCAAAAGCGAGAGAAGCATCATGTACAGCTGAAGAGACCCACTCTCAGGGACATGTTTTCATGGTTAGGAATTTAAGAGCTGTGAAGGACCACTTGGATGCTGCTGACATTGCAGCAGCAGCGCTCAACTCCCCTGTTCTGTCACACCCTCACAGTCACCTGCCATTCAAAGCTCAGAGCCCGGGGCGCTGCCACACAGGGTGCAATCATCAGGAGACTCCAGGCTCTTCTCCCAGGAGTATCACAGAAGCATATTACAGAACTAACTATAGATTATGTTTCCATGGTAATCTTTGAATTGTTACACTCAAAGGCCTCCACTTTGATATGGGGCTAATCTGTGCTTGCTAGCTGAGGAGCAGCAGGTTCAATGCCACATCCATCAGGAGCCAACACGGACACATTCAGGCACTGAACATGTTTCCCCAGAGAGCTACCACGAAGACAGTTGCTTAAGCATTGCATTTGTAGCCTAAAAACAGCTTTTAATCAAAAACCTCAAGGCACAACATCTACAAAGTCTGACAAATTTACAGCTGACGCTGCCCAAGCAGAGGAAGCCTCCAGCACCAGGAGCAGCCATGCTGCTTAACCATTGCTTTCCCTGGATACTTCCTTCTGGCCCTAGTGATAAGAAGCGAGGGGCAGGCACAGACAGGGGCTTGGGGGAGGTATATCAAGAGGAAGGGCTTACTTCACCTTTCTATGCCCCTTTGCTCCACGCAGTGCTTTGAAGGCCAGGAAGCAGACCCTGGAAAGGATGATGCTATCTACATTCTTTCCCTCTGGATTTTTATAGGGAAACCATCACCTCATTCTTGCAACCAGACAGTGCCAAAACCATCTGCATCTCACCTACAAGACTGTGGGGGTACGAGATCTCAGTGCTGCAGATACACCTACCTAGTTCCTGGGTTAATTCTCTCCCTGTGCCTCCTGCCTGCTAATTCCAGCTCATTGGAATTGGGTCACCTCCCAGTTTAGTCTCCTCTGCAAAACGCGACTGAGCTATTTTGTTTGCCTCTCCAGTTGGATGCTAAAAGCTGAAATAATCTCACAAAAATAGAACTTCAGGGTGCTGAAACAGATGCACAAAGAGAACATGGGAGATCAAGGCTGCTGGAGTTTGCTCCGGCCTCATTTTCCACAGGGTCTGGCTCATTTTGTCTGCACTTTAATGGAGCAGGGTCAGGCCCCCGATGCGCCCTGGCCAAAGCCCGGCCCAGAGGAGCAGTAGGTGAAGCACTGCAGCAAACTGCTGCAGGGAACAGTGCCTGCAGCCCTCCCTTCCCTTCCAGAAGGACATTCTGGAGCTGTGCTTCCAAGATTAGAGAGAGAGAAAAAGCTCCGGTGGCCGCCCGCCACCGTACCCTGGGGAGAAGAGGTGAATGCAATTAAATACAAGATTTGCATGCTGAAATCTCCTGAGCCAGGAGCAGAAGATCAAATTTCATTCATGAGTTTTCATGCCAAGGTGTTTGAAAAATGAGCTGAGCTTGTTCATAAAAGGCTTTCTTCAAGCAGTTTTCAGGAATCCGGGAGGACAATCGGCTCAACACCCTTCATTAAGAGAAGCTGCAAATGAAGGTGAGACCAGGTATTATAAGAATGAAAACAGGACCAAACTGGTTACCCCAACAGGCTCAGGGGACACGTTTAGCCAGCAAAGTTGGTTCAGCTGCTCCCAGCTATTTCTGGTCTATGGAGAAAGACAAAGGGTAGAGTTCTGCCTCACCTATCACAGATTTCTTGTTTAAGGTTATATTTCCTCCTGTGTTTCAGTTAGTCCCTGGCTCAGCCAACAATACCATTTAAGGTTGAAAAGTTATAATTTACATAACAAAATTATGCCTTACTCAGAAGTTTTACTGCCAGAATAATTGCCTCATTTGAATCCGGCACCCAGTTCATTGCACATGTTTTAATGGATCTGGATTTAAAGAAAATCTTCATCTAATAACTTCAGACAGCTATAAAAGAACACTGCAAACTCCACCTGACCAGCTGTCACCTGCCTCACAGTTTTCCAGCAGCAGGGAAGAGAACTTCCATCTTAGAAGGGATCTTAGGAATGGACCTTACCTGAAAGTGTCACTTGGAAAACACGAGCCCCCACCTCACACGCACTTTGCCGTGGATATTAAGAATGAACTTTTAGGCAAACACAGCTTCTTCCCTGCACGTCAGCAGCACATTTCATCTCTAGCTCCTAGAATTAGAACAAGCCTTCCCAGCAGAAATTGCTTTGAAGACGAACCAGAGCCCAGTCCCCACCCACAGACTCCCCTATTTTTGCAACATCTCAGTGCTGGCAAGTGGAGAACTGTGGCAGCTGCAGGTAAAGCTTTTAAATATTTAAAACCACCAAAAATAGTTGCTAAAAGGTGAAGTCATTGACAATTCCCTATGAAACTTAATTCCAGAATAATTCTGTTTGCTTTCCTCCACCCTTTAAAAGTTATCAAGCTTTCTAATTTTATCTTTAGAGACAATGACTCTTCAGAAGTCCACAGAGCACACATAAAAAGGTTTTCAATCCCAAATGTGCGGTTTTAAATTGCTGATAAGAGAGAATTCTGCCAGGAATGATCAGCACTGAAACAACGAGCAGTGCTGCCTTCATGCTGTTATTCCATCCTTAAGCTGATGAAATAAAGGGGCCAGTTTTTCTATTTCTAATCAGCCGTGTCTGAAAAACAGGATACTTGCACTGCTGGAATGACATTGCTGTTTTCCTAAGTCGTAACTGCAGCTTGTTTCCACTGTAGTTTTATCAAGTTAGTTACTCCACATTGTTGATACAGAAATATATTCCTTTATATGTGCACAAACACACACACAGCCCTCTCCTCTTCCCACTGAAGGGAAGGCCCATAACCCACTTGTGGACTCCCCATCCCTGGAAGTGTCCAAGGCCAGGCTGGATAGAGCTTGGAGCACCCTGGTCTAGTGGAACATGTCCCCTCCCATGGCAGAAGGGTTGAAATGAGATGGTCTTTGAGGTCTCTTCCAAGCCAAATCATTCCATGATTCTCACTTGCCAAGCTGGCCAGAATCTTCCTGCATCCTTTTGTACTCATATATGTTCTAAATCACAGCAGCCTAAAAAATTAATACATTTGCTTTAGTAGAAACTCCAAAGTTGGAGGGAAAACTGGTAAAAAAAGGCTCGGTTTTTACAACTCCTTTGTGAGGCCCACAGAGAACCCTAATGCCCCCAGGTCAGGGACTCTGATGATGCCCTTGTGAAGCCGAAACATTTCCTCTGGCCAGCAAGAACAACAACAACAACAAGAAGTACAATATTCTCAAACAGCATATTCACACTGCAAGTTTTCTGGGCAAAGCAGCGGAAGGTTTTGTTAAGGAGAAAAATTTCCATCAAAACCCCCAAGTTTCCTGTGGATTTCTTCTTTTAAACACACCAACTGCAGTCGACAAAAGTTTCTCGCGTTGCTGACTGCACACCCAGTGCCAGCTACAACTCTTAAAAAACCCTCAGGACACACTAACAGAAGGCAGAAGAAGCCAAAAAAAAAAAAAAAAAAGGAGTAAAAAAAAAAATAAAAAAAAACAATAAAAACCCACACCAAGCATAACCTCTGGCAAGGCTTTTCTCCTCCCTGGCATCCCAGTTCTCTGTCCACAGGACTCAGCTCCTCTGCAAAGGACACTGACAATTAGCAAGGACTGAGCACTGAATGCGACTTAACCATGGTCAACCACTTGTTATTTCTGGAAGGGCTTGGTAGGTCCTTTGGGCTCAACCTCCAGTACCATTTCCATCCCCTTTGCACTGCCAGGGCAAGGCAGAGCAGACAGAGAGCTGCTTCAAAGGCATTCCACGGATTCTGCCGGGGCGGGAAAGTCCCGGCTGAGCAGTCGGGATGGAAGAGGCTCTGCTGCTCACTGGAGCTTGTTCTGGCACGTGGCAAGTGTCCAAGCTCGCAGAAGGGCGGGTTGGGAAGCACGACGCTCCAGAGCCGGGGCGGGTTCGACTCCGGCAGCTGTGGAGGCATCTGATTTCTAGAAAACCCACTCCCTTGGAGCAGCAGCTGCTCCAGACCCACCTCCCAGCGCCTGCAAAATGCCTCTTGCATCTCTCAGAGAGCCAGCAAGGATTACTACGGGATTTGAAGGCAAACAGAAGGTATCTGGCTGCTGAGGGAGAGCTCTCTGTCCAAGTGGCCAGCCTGGGGGAAGCGGAGGCAAGCCAAAAACGTGGGGCAGAGCTGGCCCAAAAGAGCTGAGGAAGTAAATGCAAAGTAAACACCTAACACTGAGTGTTCACCCCATCAGGTGTTCAAATAACCTGACTCTGGGGTAGACAACACCCAAATGTAGCTGCACACAGGCATGAAGTCCATCATCCTCACCACGCAGAGGTTTCAGGTGACACAACACACACCCAAGCCCAACACACACCACTCCAGTTCGAGGGCTCCCACCTGTTAATGTTCTGGACACATTTTACACTAAACACACACACACTCTTCAATGTAAAGCACAGTCAACTGGGCTACTTTCTAAATTTTATACAGGAAGAAGTGCCACTGCTTTGCCAGGCTTTTGTATAAAAGCACTTACCGTGAAGCGAGTGACGTAGAAGCGGTTCTTTGTTGAGCCTCAGGAACCTCAAACCCCTGCTCCCTGCTTCCCAACCACACTGGAGATGACACATGGATGACATAAAGCAAAAGGGAACAAAATGAACTGACAGATTTGGTGTTCAAGGTTATAAGCTGCTCCAGAAAAACGTAGCTCAAAGATGATGGGACGACACGCGTGCCTGTGGTGGAACAGGCTGAGATGAGAAGAAATCACAGAAGGACAGTAAGAAAAACAGTGGTGGTTTTATAGATCTTCTGCTTAAAACTGCCCAGAGCAGCACAGATACGTGATATGTTTCCTTCTGGAAGTCTTTTACCTCTCTTACTTTAACATTTGTTTTCTGATTTATTAACAGCAACAGGACCAAGACCTTTCTTCACATCATAGCACAACATGTATTTCTTCAAACAGCTAACGAACCAACACAAAGTGATGCTATTTATAGCCTTCATTTTTGTGCATATTGTAATGAGAACACATGAAAGGTTGTAGAAATTAACCTTGGACCACACGATCAGTCGGAGACTCGGCGTTCAAAAGAAAAGAATAAGTGAAAGTACATCTGAAGGCAAGTCATAAGGTTGCTCTTTTGAAACTCAAGACTGAAAGGAACTGGTTCATGATGTTCAAGATGTGGTGCAGAAGATTTCACTGCAGACAGATTTCTCCAGGAGCCAAAAGGTGTTTTCATTATTAAGAACACATCCCAAACAAGAACTGAAGAAACTCCAACTGGATGTGATCCTTTCTCGTGAAGGATACAAGAAGCAGACGCGGGTTTCAAGTCACATCACTTAGAAACTTGTATCTTGGAGCTCAAAAAGTCTAGGGATAAACATGAGAAGTGGTGCAGTGTTAGGTCACTGCAGAGATATTTAAAAATAAAGAAATAGTGAAAGGTTCCTCAGTTTGTGAGAAAGGACTGGGAGAGAAACAAGGCTGCAAGCAAGGGCAGGGCAGAGATTAAGAGTATTCCAAGTGCTACACAAAATACCAAAATTGACTTTGCATCATTTTTAAAGAGGGGTGGTAACTGCGATCGTGAGGGCAAAAGCCCAGGCGTTAATCTGAACAAGAACATTGGCAGGGGGAGGATTAAAGAGCTTCATAAAAATTGTGAGGATTGGCTCATCTCAGTTTTAGAATCCAAAACAGATAGGCTCACGCACTGCAGGCCAAGAAACAGGATTTATAAACCTCTTGAAAGGCAACAATGGGAGATAATAAACATGTGGCACATTGGAGGGGGCACTGCAGGGGAGAAAGAGAAGGGAGAATGATTGCAGCCTCTCCAGGGCTGGTATTCTGACTCCAATATAAAGGTGCTTTGCAAGCAAAGAGGATTAATGTGACACAGAGAAAAAGGGAGAAGAGGGAATACTTCAAAATGCCAGACTAACCTCAAGGTTTTCAAAAAAAAGTGATCTTTTTAGACAAATCTACTATATCTTACTCACATGGTCTTCAGAGAGCACAAAGAGATTTACTGGTGAAGACAGATTGGCAGGGGAATGGGAAAACAGACAAAGGAGCTGGCTTAGCAGCAGACAGCCCCAGGTGATGCTGAATAAGAAAATACCAGCTTGGAAACCAAAGACATGCCTCAAGAATCAGCCTGGGGAACATCTGATTTTGTTGGGAATGACCTCAGCACAAATACTGCACCCACAGAACTGGAGGCAGTTCCAAAACAGCAGAGGCACAAAGCTACAAGTCACAGAAACTGAGGAGAGTTTTGAAATACAGGCAGTGATGCACCAGCAAGAGGAACACCAAGGAGTTCTGGAAGTAACTAAGGTGAATTGGCCACCATAGAAACAAAACAAGTAAGTAGAGGTGACACTGTCACACATTTGAGGCAGCAGCAAGAAAACCCTCCAGCCACATCTGCCCAGGAGCACAGCAGACAATTTTAGCCAGGACTGAGATGTATCCACACTGAGGACAACAACAGTTGTTATTCAAGAAGCTACTTGAGAAAACTTGGGTCATTTAGCACCACAAAACCACAGGTGAGGGTCACAACCCCATTTTACAGAATGCAGCAAGAGAGGTAAACCACTGAAAATAAGAAGTGGGAAGAAAAGCAGAAGGAAAATAAAGGAACAGAAACTCAAATAAGCATGTAAACTGTCATGAATGCTTAGCCTGGGAATCAAAAGAAGGTTCCTAATTGCACAGCTAGATCTGTCATCTTCAGTAATGGCTTAATAAACTGGAGGAGAGAAGAAGAGATGTAAGAAAAGATGTAAATGTTTTTAGGCTAGACTAAGTTCACAAAAGGGATTATGAGCTACTGCTTGGGAAAGCAAAGAGCTGGGTGACCCAGGAAGTCTTTTCCAGCACTAAATTACCATGAGACGAACATAGCAAGTATATGCTGTCTACACAACCACAAAGAACAAAGGTTAAAAGTTTGCTTTAAACCCACACAGCTTTTGGAAACCGAAAAGCTGGCGCTCTTCCGCCAGGCTGAGGAAGTTTAGGAGCCTTGCTTTCAGAAAAAAAAGAAGAAACATATATTTTGAAGTAGTCTGAACTCAAAGAAACCAGCATGTTCTTGCATTTGCATAAGGACAAGTTGTTCTGCCCGGTGTTCCTATAACGAGACACAGTGAGAGGCGTTCACTTAATTGTCACATAAGCACAAGTGTTTGAAATCAATCGTGCATTTCTTCTTAATAAGAGACACAGGAGAGTGAGCAATGTAAAATCTGAGCTTAAACTAATCTAATTACTTACTCCATAGTAAGACAAACCGCAACAATGAGTGCCAGCATTTCCACTTGCTCTAAGCTGACTGCGTGTTCTAAAGCCTCCTCTGACGAGCCACTCGCCAATTAAGTTCTACTTCAAAGTCGTGTTCCCAAACTAATTTACAGCTGTTGCTAAAAAACCCAAGGATTTCTCCAAGCACCCTGCCAGCTGTAGGGAATCTGAAGTTGTCATTATCAAATAAAAACGTCAAAAGAACATTTCTGCCCTTAAGCCACTACAGCGTTTCACTTAAACACCATCCGAAAGGAAGAATTCAGACCGAACAGTTGAGTGACAAGACAATAGGAAAGCAAGGAGAAGGCTCAGCCAGTGCTGAATAGTCAGCTAGAGGCAGGCCAGCCTGTTCATACCGTTTGACCTGGTGGAAGGTGGAGGATGTGGAATTCAGCGGTTCCCTGTGGAGGCCAGCTCTGCAGGAACTCTTCATGGTAACTACCTCTCCAGCTAAGGCACGCCGTCACAGCCAATCCATCCTGGGTCACACCCCAGGCTCCCCCATCAGCTCTCCTTGCCCCACACAGAGCTTCACCGTGTCTCTGCCACCTAAAAACTGAACAAACATAAGGAAATCACATTCAAGTACAGCAGCAGCTGAAGCACCGATGATCCAAACACGGACTTTCCCACGAGACAAAAGATATATATACACATATGTGCATGCACAGATACAAAATATATATGTTTAGATATAAAAGAACTTAACGTCATCATGCCGTTATTGCAGCTGGAGTTTCTGAACACCATCAAACACAAATTAACACAACAGCCTGTCTGCACACACAACATTTTTCCACCTTTTATACACGGCTACAGCGCTACCTTGTTACCTCCCACGGAACACCTCCGTCTGCAGAGCTCCTCGTAAACAGGACACACGAGATCCTTCTGCTTGTTAGCACTGCACCGGGCTTTGGAGGGAAATAGCTGCTGGCAGTAAGATTTGAGGCTGCCAGGAGTTACGTTAGTGTTCTAATCAAAATAACGTGGTGGATTTCATAAAGGACAGAAAACATGTCACCACGCAGCCTCCAAGTCCTGTGAAAACTGCCCTGTCTTTGCATCACATGCTGATAAGGCAGATTACACCAAAAACAACACTGCTCTGCAGTATCTCTTGTTCTCACTGCCTTCTACACCTTGTCCTTGGAGCAGATACTCTTACCGGCGCCTTAACGGACTCTGATGGCAAAAGAACAACAACCTTCGAGCTGGAACATTAAAGGGAAGAGTGACACAGCAGAAGAGCCCTGGAAAACCTCAAATGCTCCAGCCCGAGTTGCCAGCAGATTGTTTTAGAGACCGTTTGCTTCCTCTCTAGAGGACCACGCTCAATGATGCCGTAATAAAGGAATGCCATTTGAGGATGCTAAACATAGAGCTGTGTCCCCAGGGGATCTGTGATTTAGTGCAGCAGGTTGTTCTCTCCTTTTCAGCAGCTTTGCCCAGTGTTCCTGCTGCTGCCCTACCCCTGCTTTTGCAGAGATGGAGCCTCTCACATCAACCCCCTCCCAACACCTCCCACACAGAAGAGCCCCAACCTACACACCAACCAGTGCTTGACCAGTGTGGTTCCAGCTCAGTGCTCCCACTAAACACTCCTGGCCTGGAAAAGCTGCTCTTGGTAGCCACACTTGCTGAGAAAGCCACGAAGGATGAATTTTCCAGGCAGGAAAAAACAGAAGCCGGTTTAGACCCATCTTATTTGACTTTCTGCTACAGCAATTCCACGATTCGTCTACTGATGGTGATGGAGAGGTTAATCATTTGCCTACATTTGAGTAGCAGGAGCCTAAAATAATATATAAAATATTATATAAACACATTCCAGTCCTCATGGAGAAATCTCTGCTGAGTTCTACACAAGGCTAAGAAACGTGTCGGGTGGAGAAGATGGAGGAGGCATTGCACTGGCAGAGCAGGGGGATGAGAGCATGTCCTCAGCTCCAGGAATTCAGGAATACCAGGAGTCAGGCTGCCATGATCAGCAGAAATTGAAACTCTGTAGTTAAACACCACTTTCATTAGACTACCCAGGGTCTGTAACAAGGACCTACCCCTACGAGCAAAACCTAGGCACAAAAATCAGCTGTTTCTGATGTTTTGTGAGCTGTAAAATACATTTTCACAAACAGTAATTCACAGAGGGGAAAAAAAAAAAAAAGCATGTGCCTAGTGCTTTGGGAAAATCAAACACAAAATCGTTACTTTCCCATGAACCATCAGTAAGAGGCACTGAAATCCTGACTTTTCTCCAAGCTTTTGTCTGGCTTTCCTTCTGGCTTTACTGACACTAGCATTTCAGACTCAGCAGGAGCTGTATCACAAAAAACATGATTATATCCACACCCAAATAAACGCAACCACACCATTTCAAGAATGCCACTCACTTTTTCAAGAGCTAGAACTCCCTCCCATGTATCCCTGGTTAGAAACACCACATGTTTTGTGCTAGTCCTACTCCTTTGGGGATCAACTGAGAAGTAAAAGATAAAAGCCAGACAAAAAACTGAAACCCAAAGGTATCTTGTGAAGAGCTCGAGAAGCAAAACCATGAAAAGAAGGTTCAGGTCAGGAGCAGCCACAACCCTGATCCAAGCACAGGAATCATACAGTGGGATGTCATGTGTTTAGGAAGGGACCAGCACCTACCAGAGGGAGGCAAAAGCTGGCAAAATAGACCCAGCCAACTTCAGATGGGCACTGCAGCACAGCTCCAACCACAGCTCCATACAAAGCATGCTTTTTCCCCTCCTCTATAGCTGCTGGGCCATAGAAAAGAGCTGAAATAGTCTATTAATGCCAGCAAGCCCCTGACAAATTCCTACTGTGTGAGGAGTAAAAAGCTGTGCTTGTGAATTTAAAAAAAAAGAAAAAAAAGAAGGAAAATAAAAAAAAAAAAAAATCAGCATCCAAGCTAGCAAAGATACTTACTGCCTTTTAATTACCACTGTTTCTGTACCAAGGCTGATCTTTAGCAGTAGGTGCTTCAGCCGATTTGCTAGTTTTGCACAGAGAAAAACTGAAATACAGATGCACAGAGAAACAAAACAGGAGAGGAAGTTAAAAACATAATGGTGTTGTTCTCCCTTTCTGAAGCCACCCCCAAACATATGCCTTCATACACAAGATGTGGGAAGGACTCGGATTTTGGCAGCAGTAAAGCATCACATCCTCCCAGCCACGGACGGCACTTCGGTCCCACAGAATTCCCCCTCTTATCTTCAGGTTTGAATGCTGCTGCAGCTCAGGAAAACAAATGTATTAACTCAGCCAGAGTGGATGAAGGGGGGGGTCAAGGTCTCCTCATCTGTGCAGCATTAAAAAGCACTAAAGCTTTTGATATTTTGAACTAAAGCTTTACCAAAAGAACAAGTGTGTTTTAGCTGTAGCAACAGTAACCCATCAACAAAGGAGTTCAAAGGGTGGGCACATCCTCTCAGAAAATTTACTTTCTAGAAAGGAGGCCGTGGCCTTGGGACTGGATCTGAGCAGCAATCACCCTGCTGGTAAAAACATGTGTGAAAACACATTTGACCACCCCATCTCCACACAAGGGCAAGCCTTAGGATGCTCCACAGGGACATGGCACTGGATGAGCTGGGCAAAGAGCAGCAGCACAGCCAGGATGCAGGAGAAAGCAGCCTCAAGTGTTTCAGAGGGGAACTCAGAGGAGTTAATAAAGAAACAGTCATTATGATGGGGGGGGGGGGGAACAACACGGTGCTGAGGCCTTATTATAAAGATATAGGGTTTTGTTTTCTTGCAAGAACAGAGTTCCAAGTCCATTCCCCCACCACTGAGCTCAAGTTTAGGTTGTTACATGATACTTGTCTCTAAAACCATATTTCACCAGACAGGCAATTCTGCCATCTCCCAGCCTAGTCATCCCTCCCTCCCTCCCAAACACCCGCCAGAACACTTACAGCAGCACCAGAATTTCCTAAGCAAGAAGCTTTGGCAGAAAGCTTTTCCTCATCCCATACTCCCACTGGGAACAATCCACAGCAGCTCCCAGACTAGGCTGCACAGCAAGATGATACACCAAATCCTCATACTCAGCCTCTTAGATACCTGTAGGAACACAACCCTTCCCTTTTAACCATCCTTCATGTAATATCTTCCTATTTAAAACACCTTAAAAAACTGCCTTTTGACACTAAAGGAGCCAACACAGACATAATTTGGCTTGTGTGTTCAGCTTCCCCACTGTTTGATGGTCAAAAATGATAAAGTTGCACAGATCTGGTGTTATCTAATCTAAAAACAATAAAGCTGCCACAGGGGCTCCAGCTGGAATAAATGTGGGGGAGCTTCCTGTGTCCACTCACACACCAAAACCAGATGATGTGACTTCTTCTAGGCACCAGGAACCAGAGCTGGTAAAGCAAGACCCTGTTACCATTGTCTTGGCTCATTTAGCCACCAAATTTACTCCAGCCCTTCCCTTCCTCCCATCCATGCTCTGTACCCTGGATCACACCAGACAGAGCAGCTACTGAACTGAAATCTGAAGATTCCCACATAAGGGGAATCAGTGGAGGCCACAAAGACGATCTGGGGTCTGGAGCATCTCTCTTATGAGGAAAGACTGCAAGAGCTGGTCCTGTTTAGTCTGGAGAAGACTGAGAGGGGATCTCATCAATGCACATAAATATCTCAAAGGTAGGTGTCAAGATGATGGTGCCAGACTCTTTTCATCGGTTCCCAGCAACAGGATGAGGAGCAATGACCATAAATTAAAACACAAAGTTCCACCTCAACATGAGGAAGAACTTCTTTACATTAAGGGTGGCAGAGCACTGGAACAGGCTGCCCAGGGAGGTCGTGGATTTTCCCTCTCTGGAGACATTCCTCTCTGGACACATTCCTGTGTAATCAGAGGTCCCTTCCAACCCTAATAATTCTGTGATTCTCTTCTAAATTTGAGCTTGGACATCCATGTCAGCAGGGAACACATGGATGCTCCAAAACACTGTGCAGCCCCATGGCTGTTCCAGTCACTGTAATTCCTGCCATGCTGAGGTCTCATCCCTCTTCTCCTTCCAGCTCATTCACACCTTTCCCTTTATCAGCACAGGTTTCCCACTTGATTTCTCACCTGAAGCAGCCCAGGGAGCTGAAACTAGGAGAGAATTAACCCAGAAGTGGCCAGCTCCCTGACCCACTTACCCCCAAGACCTAGCAGGAACTCACAAAGCCCGGCAGGATGAAGTTCTCAGCAACTCAGCTTGGACTCAGCCAGCTCCAATCCGCACCTGGAATTGTGCTGAAAAAGGTGCCTGCTACAAAGTGGGTTTTAGCTTCTTTCAAGGAAGTGCTTCTGAATGCACAGTGGGCAGAATGCAGAGTGTTTCGGAAGCGGGGAAATGAGCGTGTAGGGCTCCAAGGCAACATTTGACTCTCCACTGCTGTCAAGCAGCGCTACTTGCTGTACTGATAAGCATATGAAATGCTTATTCTAATGAAGCACTACAGGGAGAACCTGTCTTCCTTCCAAGATCATGTCAATGAAGAATGAAAGGCTTCGCATTCGCAGCAATCCTGCCTTCTCTCTAGGTGGGGTAAGCGTTGGAAGGACTAAGTCGCCCCCTCAAAAGGAAAACCTCAGAAGGGAAAGAGAAAATAAAGGAAAGACAAGCTCTGCTGCACCCTCTTAACTCTGTATTTTGAGTACTGGAAAAAAAAATAATATCACAAGTGTTTCCCTTGTTCAACTATTCCTGAAAGGTTTCAGCTGCCTCGCACGATTTGGGAAAGGACATCACCCGTTGCTCAACGGGGAAGAAGTTAAGAACTGGCTCATTAGATTTGTCCTCCTTGATCCAAGAGGAAAACAAAACCAGTAAATCCCTCGCTGGGCAGCACTGGTGACAAACACCCTCCCCCCCCCATCACCACCACCCCCAGATCACACGTCCCCTCTGCTTTCTAGAAAGCTGCCTTGGCACTGCCCGCCGCTGTCGCGTGCCCCGAATGACAAACGGGGGGTGGCCGAGCACCCCCGAACCAGCCGCGGCTGCTGCGGCCTCGGGTTACGGGGTGTGGGCAAAACCACCCACTGAACACACCACACTCGGGGCCACGTGACCCCCCCCCCCAGCCACGCCTGAATTATTTAGAGTATAAAACTAGATTTGATTTTTTGCCGTGCAGATCCTGAATTAATGAAAGCTCAGCTGAAAGGCCACTTCCTCGGGACGAGAGTAAGGAGAAAGCTTCCAGAAGCCTTCCTATTATAGAAGCAATAGGAGCTGGTTCCAAAAATAGTAGAGCAGCATTCCCAGAGCTCTGGAGACATTGTGCCCTGGTTTTGTGAGGCTGAGGTCTCCCTGGATCGCTCCTGCACATGCAAAGATGGGTAGGAATGACTGCAAGATGCAGAACTGACGTGAAAAGGGAGTTTTAGGACAAACACCAGAGAGAGAAACCCAAAGAGCCTGTAAGGAAGAGATCAGCTTGAACGCCAACAGAGAGCCAACCCGACCCACTTTAGAGAAAGCCAGTTAAAACCAGCAAGGAGAATCCCACCCTTTTCAAGAACACGGCTTGCTAAAAAAGATTCTGATGATTATTATTATTATTATTACAACAACACTGATGTGGTGGATTAGGATTGTCAACAATCATTGTCCTGTGGATGTCAGGGATTCTGGCTGGAGAGGTGCACTGGACTTGTTTTTGCTGTGACAGCTCATAAACTGACCAACACATGGGCCTTCCTGACAGCAATTCCTCACGAGTTCACCTGGAATAGCTGGTTAGTGATCCAGCAGCAGGGCATAACGACCCACTCTAATTCCTAAAGTTTCCTTTGCCTGTTTCATGGCAGCTCTTGTAACACAGTGGAAAAAAAAACCTCATTTGCAAAACTCCTCTGATTACCAGTCTATCTTTTTTCATCTTTGTGAATCTTTGCATCTGTGTACTCCAGCACAGGACTGGCCTTTTTATTGGCATGTAGTGACAAAGTAAAATGTCACCAGGAAAACAAAAACATCATACTGGACACACTACAGAGGCAAGAAGGCTCCCTGTCCCATGGCACAACTCCTTCTGTACATCTCTCCACAGGGTATGAAATGGCTTCTAAAATAGAAGAACAAACCTGCACCTGACTTCTAAATATCCAGTAAATAAATAAATACAGTTCCTTCTTCAGACCTCTCCTAATAAGGAAAACCCCACAGCAGGTGCCTCAATGTTAAGCACTAAATTCATCAGCTTTACAACTCAATTCACTGAATTAAATATGGTTTTAACAGGTTTATGTGGCTCTAACTGGTTTGGCCCAGCCTTTGGGCTGACATTTCTCCTTTCAGAGACCACCCCACCTCCCCTGAATCACAGGGCCAGACCTACACAGTTTAGCAGAATAAGGGATAGTTCATTTTTGTTTACTTCTGTGGAATCTTACCCTTTTAATCAAAAGGTTATGTTGTGGATTTCTCTGTCCTATACCACTGTGGGTACCTTCTCAAAGACACAGTCACAAAAAAAAAAAACCCAACAAAAAACCCACAGAAAACAACCCCTCAAAAAACCCTAACCAAACTAAATCCACACATACACACAAAATACTCAAAGCAGAAGGACAGTTTAGTTCACATGGATCAATTCTGCTGATCCACTGCAGTGTTGAGAGGTTACAATATTCACTAGGCAACCCTAAAGCACCCAAATTTTTCCTAAGGGTCTCCAAACCAAATTCAACAAACCTTATATAGCAGAACACACACTAGATTAAATGTAACAGTACCAAAAAAAAAAAAATTTTAGAAGTAACTGTGCCATTAGTTGCAAATATTTGGATATGTTGGATAAGGCCTTGAGCAACCTGATCTGGTGGGAGATGTCCCTGCACAGGACAAGGGGGGTTGGGACTAGATGATTTTTAAGGT